CCTGTGGGCGGCACTGTAATACTGCTGCAAAAGCATACCAAAAACAGGAAACAAGGCGTGCAGAATGCATATAACCTTGACAAGTTGGGTAGACTGTAAATACATAAATCATGGACTATATTTAATGTACTGTGCAGTCCACAGTTCAAACAAGGCAAAAATTAAAAAAATAAAACTCCCAAAAAACAAAGATTTAGAATAAAAGAGCAAGAACTGAATCCTTCTTGTGTTGCAATAACCTACAAAACCATAAAAATGTAGGATAGGACTGACGGGAGTCGTGTCCATAAGAATAAGAGAACCTAATGGACAATCTTCAGGGGCAGTATTCAGGAAAGGACTAGTGGAAGAAGGAGTGTCCTCCCTGTGTTCTGAGCATCTCAGAGTAACGTCCTGATGCTGCTCAATAATCCACAAAGATAAATCTAACAAGGTTGAGTCAAGTCCTCTGGATGGACTGAATCTGTCCTGAAGACCTGTCTCAACCTTGTTAGACATCTCAGAGTAAGTTATTATTACACAAGTTTTGGTGTGTTAACAATGTTTAAAATTTTCACTAGATACAATTTTTAGCTTTTTTTTTTCTTTTTTTTTTTTTACTGTATTGTTAGTTGACATTTCAGTTTGTGATAAAAAAAAAAACCTTTATGTCCTTAGAATTGTTGGTGCAGTTATACAGGGAGTTACCTCTGCTCTTTTGAAAACAATGTTGTTGTCCATCAACTTTGCCATTGAAGTAATTCAGGATATAAAGGGTGTACTGTATTTGAGGAAACTACTTTGTATAATTTGCAGCACAATCAGGGTGTGTAATCTGTCAGTACGTTCAGTTACATCTGTCTGTTCAAAAGATCGTGGATGTCCACACAAATAATACAAGGGTGGCGTTTAGGTTTTTCATTCTGGAACTCAGTTTTAACATTATACCACATGGGACTCCTACTAAGTGCAGTTTCCATGTGGATGCAAGGCTCAAGCAATAAAAACTTTTGAGCATTCTCAAAATCCATTCCCATGTGGACAGGGCCTGCGTGTGAGATATTAACATGCATCTCAAAAATGCTCCATCACCAATAAAACATCTTTGATCACGACATAAACTTCAAGGCTACACAGTGGATTTTCCAATTTTGACAGTAAGATTATTTAGATTTATTATTTCAATTAAGTAGAGAGTTAGATGTAAAATGGCAGGCTGAGGTCAAAGGGCACTGTGTGTTCATTGTCACTTGTATTAAACCAGAAGCAAAGTTGCAAGAGAAGACCATCCAACCAATTAAAAAGCTGCACACAGATGGCTTGCATTCTGTCCAGTTTGTATACTTGGTTTCTGCTCATGAAATATATTAAAATGTTTTTTTTTCATTGCATTAACTGCCAACACAAGACTGAAACAAGACAAACTCAGTGACTTTTTTTGACAAACTAAAGGTTTAAGTAGCATGCTAAGGAAATGTTGACCTGTTGACAGTGCTGACTGCAGCTGCCACAGTAAAATGGGACTGCACAACACAGCAGTGTGCCTGAGGACACCAAGGGAGTATGGGTAAAAGGGACTGCGTTGTGTTTACACCTTTGCCTCGTTAGCTTTTCCCCATTTGCTGATAGTGGGCCCATGGGTGCACAACAAGCATTAAATATTTAATGCAAAGCAAACCAAGGGTGCAACTTTTGTGAGCATTACTGCTTCATGAAAAATAAATACTTACGAGTGTTTTCTCAACCATGCGTTCAGAAATGCAAATATATCAAGTTCTCATTGTCCTTGCACATACGTGAAAATTAAAACATGTTAAATTACTTCAGAGTTTTTCAGGGGCCACAGCTTTATCTGCCAAATCGACTCCACGGTCTTTTTATTTTGTGGAACTCGCTCGCAAAATCCCAATCAAAATTTCACAATAGATTCTCTAACGCCTGAGCAATGACATTAAATGTGGAAGAAAAAAAAAACTATTACAAAGAATAGATTTGCTGTTATTAATTCCCATTGACTTAGAGGTTTTGACAACAATAACTTTTCTAGGTTTCATAACTAAAAATAACATATAATGCTCTTTTCTAACATATAACAAACCAATTCACTGCAGACAGTTTTCTAATTCCATTTATAATCACATTTAATCTGTTTGAACTTTGTTGCTGGTGTTTCCAAGAAGTTTTGACTTTGTCATACAAAACATACTTTAAACTGTGGTATACACCTGTTGGCCACTTTCTTAGGTACGTACCTAGTTGGACCTCCTTTTACCTTAGCGGCATAGATTCATTAAAGAGTTGGAAACATTTCTCAGAGACTTTGATTCATATTTATGTGATAGCATCATGCAATTACTGCAGATCTGTCAGCTGAACATTCATGATGTTGACCTCCTATTCCATCACATTCCAAAAGTGCTCGATAGATCTGGTGACCTTGGAAACTGTTGGACTCCAGTAAATCAAAAGTCATAAGACTAGAAAATGTTTTTTTTTTTTTTTATTATTGTTTGATTTTGGCGAGCTTCTATGAATCGTAGCTTCAGTTTTCTGTTCTTAGCTGACATGAGTGGCAGGCACCTGGTGTGGTCTTTAGCTGCTGAAGTTCACCTCTTCAAGGTTGGTCATGTTGTAATTTCAAAATTGATGTTCTGCATGCCTTGGTTGGAATTAGTTATTTGAGCTAATGTTACCTCTGACATCAACAAGGCTCTTTCTTTCACACAACTGACACTTATGGAGATATTTTATCCTTATTAGGTCATCATCGATCATGGGATTCTCATTTCTAGGCTGGAGCAGTGGGTGGGCATCACAGGGTCAGCCCTCACATGGTTTAGGTCCTACCTCTCTGACAGAACTTTTTATGTCAATATTAAAGATTTCCATTCAGCATCAGCAGCACTTCAGTGGGAAGTACCGCAGGGGTTCATCCTCAGTCCCCTTCTCTTTTCTTTATACCTGCTGCCACTAAGTGCTATTTTCCGCAAACACAACATACCCTTTCATTTCTACGCCGATGACTGTCAAATTTACTTCCCCCTGAGGCACAGAGGCACACACTCTATTCAACCTCTTCTTGACTGCCTGGCTGACATCAGGGACTGCTTTAAACTTCTTGTTTCAATGAGAAGAAGTCTGAAGTCATGTTGTTCTATCCCAATGATACATTCATGAACCACTGCATTGACCTTTCCTCTCTAGCTCTGTTAGAGAAACAAAAAGTTACTAATCTGGGAATGATAATGGACCCTTCCTTGAAACTTAACAGTCATGTGAACATGTTAAATCCTGTTTTTTTTTTCAGCTGGGGCGGTTTTCTAAGCTGAAGCCCATACTCTCCAAAAGGAAACTTGAGATAGTGATCCATGCGTTCATAACATCCAGGCTCGATTACTGCAATGCACTTCTGTTTGGAATCAGTCAGTCCTCCATTGCACATCTACAACTGGTCCAAAATGCTGCAGCCCGATTTTTAACTGGTACAGGCCATAGAGAGCACATTACACCAGTTTTGGCCTCCCTGCACTGGCTACCCATTCACCTTTGGATCTAGTTCAAAATACTCATGTATGTTTTTAAATCACTGAACAGTTCTGCCCCATCTTATCTCACTGATCTTCTGCAGCCATATGTCCCACTGTACTATCTGAGGTCAGCAAACCAGATGCTTCTTTCAGTTCCAGTAACCTGTGATAGGGTAGCTGGTGCCAATTGGTCTGGTCTACTGGGATTTTCCACACATAACCAATCTTTGGGATTTTCAGAAGATACCATACCACCAATTTATTTATAGAGCACTTAAAACAGCAACAGGGCCAACCAAAGTGCTGTACAATAGAAACAAACAAGCACGGCGGAGAGGAAAACAAAAAATAAATATATAGATACAAATAGCAGCATATAATAACTGAATGGCCAATACTGTAGAATACAGACAGGATCAAAACAAATCACACTGTGCCAAATGCAAGGGAATAAAAGAGGGTTTTCAAGCGAGACTTAGACTGTGATGGGAGCCTACCTGACATGCAGTGGCAACTCATTCCACAGTCTTGGACCTGCAACTGAGAAAGCCCTGTCACCTCTGAGCTTACCACAGGGTAGGTTCTGTAAATCCTATTCTTGCTCCATTCTGATGCTCGGTTTGAACTTTAGCAAGTCATCTCCGCCACATCAAGGTGTCTTATTGCATTGAGATGCTGTTGTGTGATTGGCTGATTAGCCATTTGTGTCAGCAAGAACTGAAGAGGTGGAACTAATACAGCGGAAGATGCATGTGTATGAACTTGTAGCAACAAGGTTTACAAGATTTACTATAAAACTTTTGCCTCCTCAATACAGGGAGCATCTCCAATCACTGCGTGCACTACTTATTTGTAGAAATGGAATTCACAGACAGCAAATTGTTCCCACATCAAGAAAAGATTAAAAATAAACTTGGCACTGCATTGAGCAGTGGAGGAAGGAAGATTATGGTTAGAGTCCAAGCTTGTCCTCACCCCGCACCATGTTGATAAACTGTATCTGATCACAGAGAGGAAGAAAAACTGACATCATTAAGATTCACCAGTGTGCAAGCAAAGCAACACAAGCAAACCTCCTCTAAGCCCCCTGATGACTATCAAGCACTGTGTTTCCCAAGCATGGAGGTAATGAGACAAATACTTATTGCTCAGGAAAAAAAATGGCAAGAATATTAGCATCGCATTAGGCCCTGGGTTTAATGATGTTCTAAGTACAATATGTCACTGCTACTCTGAGGCAGAACACATTTAAACATTATAAAGAGAAGGAGGAGAAAATGTGAAAAAAGCGCAAACTGTTTGGTGTCTCATACGGGAACATTTCAGAACAGGGATGGAGGGATGAGTGAGGGGATGAGACGTATACAGAGCTTTGAAAGGGATGCTGATTTTAAAATGGTGTACGAAATAGTTTGATGTGATAAAATTAAACAACTGGCATAAGGTGAATGTCTTGTGATTGATTACTTTAAAAATGGGACCATCAATACTCACTAAAGGGGTGCAAGGGGTCCAGTATTCAGGATTCAACTCTGCTCGCGGACGAAGGTCCAGATATTCAGGATTCAGTTCGGTTCGGGCACGAGTTAATGTCCCCTTCATGGAAAATTAAAAAAAGGGTTATTAGGATTGCTTGTTTGATTATAGTTTAGGTTTTATTCACAGCAAATCTTTTACCCTCATTTGAGTCAAAACAAAAATGTCTAAAACGTGTAAGCATTATGTTAAACCCATTATTCTTCCTCTAAAATGAAGTCATGAACGTTAACCATCTGATGGTGAAATGCAGAATCAACATTTTTGCATAAAGTTTCTGCAAACATTTCTATTAAGCAAATAGCAAACAAGGTTAGTTTTCCATTTCTGAAGCCCTCCGTCCTGTGACAGGCCATCGGAATGGACTGACTCTACGGAGCCCCACGAGGTCTATGATATATTCTGTAATTATCTGCCGATTCCCAAAATGGTTGTGTGTAATGAGGCTGTGCTGCATGAAGCTCCGGGCATAAATCACTGTCTTTAACTGACTTCCAGATGACCAACAACAACACAGAAAAAGAAAGAAATGGGTTATCAGAGAAGCACCACAAAAATTGTACCTCTTATCAGCAAACACCATATTGTCCGCCAAACTCATTTAGGTATTTTTTTCGTCTAAAAGGAGTCAGCTCACTTGCTTTATTTTTATTTATTTATTTTGTGTGTAACTGGGATACCAGTTTATCATCTACTAATATCATTATTTAGCAAGTCAACACAGGTGGAGACCTTGTTAGGCCTGTGTTAGCTTCAGCCATGTTTGAATGGCAAAATGACAGTCGGTCTGTCGGACTGTATGCTTTGCTTAGAATAAACTGCTTTCACTGCCAGAAAATAGCATCCCCCCCCCCCCCCCACACACACACACACACCACCACACACACAGAGTTTCTGAAATAAACATTTCTATGTAGATGCAGTTATTTATGAGAATGTAAAGGATCATTAAATGTGCAATACTCAGTAAATATACACAAGTCCGATCCAGCCCTGTTCTCTTTTAAGATATGCATATTTAATTAAAGTAATGTTTATGTAATGAACAATAAACAAATAAAGAAAAAATACATATGTTGGGGAAAGACCATTGAGACAGATGTCTTAATTGCACTAATTACAGTTTATTGCTTAAATTACTTTTCATTTCCCCCAAAGAATGTTACATTTGTAAGTGTAATTTATGAAAAGCTTTAAACCAGACTCTAAACTATAATTAATTTTACTGGACCTCATATTGGCTTTAAACTTTACTAGAAAAGTTTAATAAAACTACATTTTGACTTCAGCTTACAGTAGAAGTCATCCATCCTTTTTCTTATCTTGCCTTTTCTTTTTGGGTTACTTGGAGAGCTGGTGCTTCATTGTGCAAAAGTCAGGGGTACAACCTGGACAGGTCATATGTCCATCACATGGCCACATAGAGCCAAATGAGACAGATAATCAATCATGCTCTCAGGACAGTTTAGAGTCGCTAGCTAACATAACATTCATGCTTTGGTGTATAGGATGAACCTGGAGCATCTAGAGAAAACCTACACATGCACAGGAAGAACATCCAAACTCCACACAAAAGCTGGGGGGGTGAACCTGCATCCTTCAATTAGAATCAATGATTGTGATACTGGTATTATTTGCTTATCAAATAAGTTTGACAAACTGAACCATAGGTTTTAAAAGTGCATGAAATGTCAGTATATTGGATGTCGAATTAAAACACAGATGACATTCAAATCAGAACCGGTTGGTCATGCCTTCAGGTACAGTATGTCACCGGACTGAAAATGTTGAGGACTTGTTGGAGATACAAGTGTTTTTTTACTTAGAATCAGTTTGAATAAAATATTTCCATTAGCTCACAGCAGACGTTGCTGGAAAACTGCACACATTACACCCAAAAATACATAAATAAATAAATAAATAAATAAATATCTAAAGCTGTAAATTTAACTAAATGAAGTTAGTTTATGAAAGTCAGAAAGATTTAAGGAGGGTTCAAGTCACCTGAAACAACTGACTGTTAACAAAAGTATTGTTTATTTTGTCTAATACTAATAGTCTAATATTTGCCTAAAGAGTGAGGCCCTAAAAAACAAGTAGGAGTTTAAAAACCCTTAAGAACAGTTCATGACTTTTTGGAAACTCCCTCAGGAATATAATTCACAGTTTGTCACCAAATGTTGCAACCCTATGAGGTACTACTTCAAGCTTAATCTACTTTTAGTTAATTATTTAACTAACAAATTAAAGAAATGTGCTTTAAATATCCATGCCGGTTTATGTTTAAACACAGGTGCCATTCAGCTGTCTCATCTGCTTCAAGTGGAGGAGTTCAAGCGTCTTGGGGTGTTCTTCACAAATGAGGAAAGAAAGGAACGTGAGATTGACAGACTGATTAGTTTGACATCTGCAGTATTGCAGACTTTGTGTCAGTCCGTTGTGATAGAAAAAGAGGTGAGCTGTAGGGCAAAGCTCTCCGTTCACCGGTCGGTCTATTCCTACCCTCACCTATGGTCATGAGCTGTGGGTAGTGACCAAGAGAATGAGACTGCGGATACAAGCAGCTAAAATGAGTTACCACCGCAGGGTAGCTTGACTATCTTCCATTCAAACCAGTAACAGATGGTGATGACACCAGACACTGCAGGCCTGGTAATAGGACAATTCAGCCCTCTGCCAAATCGTACCTATGTGCTGGTAGTTTTATGCAGCCTATGCAATAAAGCACTGCTAGATCCTCTACAGTGTTGCATGGAGCTAAAGCATCTTCACACAGGGTTGCATGCACGGTTACAGTGCCTGGGTGCAAAATAGTAACTGCTTTGTACCCAATTGGTACAAATCATTGGCTATGAATCATTAAATAGCAACCACTGGATAAGGAGGATTGACCAGCACTCAACAGGGCAACATCCAATGCTATATTAATATTTTTTTTCTTCTTTCAGCTGCTCCCTTCTTCAGGGGTCGTCACAGTGAACTAAGTCGCACGAAGACTTGGCCGGATGCCCTTTCTGGCGCAACCACAGACCACCGAGCTACCACAGCCCTCTGTGTGGAGCAGAGAGCTGCTATCTAGGACACCCGGAGGAGCAGATGGTGGAGGTTAAGGGCCTTGCTCAAGGGCCCAGAGTGGGACAAATGAGGGTGGGGGCAGGTGTGGGTGCTTCACCTACCCCACCCACATTTTTTATGTTGTCGGTACCGGGGCTTGAACTGGCGAGCTTGCGATCACAGGCCCACCTTCTCAACCTCTGCGCCACCACTCCCACTATATCCAATGATATATTAATTAAAGTGTACAAATTCTACCATTGCAGGGTGTGAAGTTCAGTTATCCGGGAAGGACTCCGAGTAGAACCACTGCCCCTCCACATCAAGAGTTGAGGTCATTCGGGCATCTGGTAAGGATGGTCCCTGGGCTCCTCCTTAGGGAGATGCTTTGGGCATATCCAACTGGGAAGAAGCCCCAGGGAAAACCCAGGACACGCTCAAAAAATTGTTTGTTGGTTGGACTGCGAACACTTTGGGGTTAGGGTTACAGTAGATGAGCTGGAAGATGTGGCTGTGGACAGGACTATCTGGACCTCCCTGCTCAAGCTGTTGCATCGCGACCGGACTTCAGAACAAGCAAAAGAGGATGGATGGATGGATGGATGGATGGATGGATGGATGGATGGATGGATGGATGGATGGATGGATGGATGGATGGATGGATAATACTACCATTGCAACCACATTATGACTGAAATTTCCAAAATTCAGTATGTTATAACTCTGAAGGGAAAAGATGAGCTGAATTTCTGCAGACTAGTACTAGAGTTACTGTAATTGTTGTGTTAAAACCAACATCCTATTCCTAAAATGTGCTTCAACCATTTAAAAATAAAGTTTTTGCACACCAGCCTCCCTCATAAATTCCTGCAATTACTATAGAAATACATGGAAAATGGGTGAAAAGAGGCCAGGGAGTGCTCACAACCTCTGTCTCATTATGTGTCGTCTTAATATACTATTCTACTTGTCTGTCACTTTAATTAATGGCAGCAGTGTTCCATAAACTGCGCAGAATGTAGGATTATTTATTAGTACCTACCTATTTATCACTAGTGTGATAAGTGACAGAGAGAAGGGAAGTGAGAGCTGGCAACATTATAATTGATCATTTTTCACTTCACATTGTCAGAGTGATTGTGGTAAAATCCCTGTTTGGAGCTGACAGTATCACATGTTATACTGTCAATGCTGACAACAAAAATAACTTTCATGAATAAAACAGGTTATTGAGATTTATTGAGTGCTGGCAACTGCACGAGGTTTCAATAGACCTTTTATTACCTGAGAAGAAAAGCAGAATATCTTAGATCAAAATGCTGCGGCTGAAGATTAACGGATCATTAAAGTTCAGGGAGCACAAAGAAATACAGAGTTCATTTTATAGTGGCATTGATAGTCATCTGGAGTAAAATTGATTTGGTTTTAAATTGACTAAATTGATTTTGAGGCTGGGGAAATAAAGGTTAGCAGGACTAAAAGTCTTATACTGAAAGTACTTCAGCAATGTGGAGTTTTAAATGAGGCAGAGAATGAAGTAAATGACAGATTTTTTGGCAACTCTGTCATCAGTGTCATGTCACTCCTCTAAGTGACTGGATATTGGGTGAATACATTATTACCTGGTATGGATGGGGTTTGTATCTAGTGGGTAACTGACTTCTTTATGAGGAACTCTAGCTACTATCACAAGTAAATAAATATGTCACTTTATATGCCCATAGAAAGCACCACATTATCACTCTCTCAATATGGACTAGGTCCTTCTTTATACAATAAGCAGCTCTTACTAATCTGGATGTTGAAGAGAGGAAAAGCATATTGAAGGGTGTCCTTGAGTGGTTGGCACCAATATTAACAATAGACTATATGGGTTCTAGGTTTTGGCATGTGGTCTCTTAGGATTGGGCTTTCCTCCAACAAATACCATTAGATCCCATTAAATTGGTATCTGGGAACTTGTGTGGCCAGATGAACACCTCAGATTCTTCATCACACTTTTTGAG